CTTGAAGAAAGAATGGCAAGATTATTAGACAGTAAAAGATTTTATTGGATATCAGTTTGCCTCACAAAGATTTTTCAGATGATTGATACAAAAATAATTTATTATTTGAATATTGTAAGTTTTTACAACTTATAGTACTTGGGAAAATAAATTGTTACAATTAATGGAAATCTATCTAATCTAAGTCAAAACCTCCTAAACTCCATTGCTCCCATGCTCAAGGTCTCTTGCTCCCTCTGCTTCCTCTATCATCCAATTGGTGCTCACACGAAAAAGACAAAGGAAAAGAAGATTAGTATAGTTAATTGAAAAGAATTTTCATGAAAAAAGAAAGGAAAAAAGTCATCATTAAAGTTTGTCGTCCGGAATCAGAGTGCTATTTGTTCATCATGTTTTTATTTTTCTCTTTACAAATCACAAGAAGATTGCTCTTATTGGTTCACAAAGAGAAAAGTAAAAAATGCAAATGCAAGCATACAAAAGAAATTATTCAAAAATATAGCAAGGCGCCAAAATTGTAAAATGTAGGCCAAACTAAAACATGTTGTACAAAGCAAGCTAAACAAAGGCGCCAACTGGATGCAAGGCAAATTATTATAGGCCAAATTCAGACAAGCTGCATTACTAAACATGGCATACAAGGCAAACTGAGTTACAAAGCAAACTAGATGCAAACTGTCAAGCAAAGCAACTGGATGCAGAAAATATGCAATGCAGAAAGTACAGCTGGCCAAAAGTAAACAGCAGGCAAATGCAGAAGATAAACCAATTCACAGGCCAAAAGCTTGTCATAGCTTTTCATCATTTTCCATAAAAGTAGGCAAACTTTTCAGAATAAAGAAAACAAGCAAAAAATGCTCTATCATAGAGAGAGAAAGAGAGAAAAGGATATCACCTTTTTGAAGTGTACAGTTTGGAAAAGCAGGCTATCACAAGTTGCAAACAAAAAAAGCTAAAGAGATATAAAACTATCAAACTGCATAACAGTTGGGGGGGAGAAAAACACTTGGTCAAAACCATAAAACTCCCCAAACCTAACAACTCCAAGCCAACCTGCTAACAAACAGCCAAACTATAAACCAGCTGGCCACACTGTTATCAAACCAAAGCAAGCTTGCCAAACACAAAACCTGCAACAACTTTCAAACAGAAACAATAGCTAAACAACAAGCTTGCCCAAACTGCAAAACTGCACAAACTGAAAACAGAATAAAAACTTCCATGATTAGAGATTACGGTTTGTATGCGAAAATGCAAAATCAATCGCTAGATGACCTAATACAAGACCTAAATGCATGAAAATGACAAACAGAATTCACACGTGCGTCTCTAGGGTAACCTCGCTTGTTGCCTCGGAAATGCAATCATGTCCCTCGAATATGAGACACTCTAGCAAATTCCCCTTCGATAAACAAAGATCGTAGTCCCTCGATGACCCTCGATGTTGCCTTTGATAAAACAATCTCGTCCCTTACAAAATTGCTAGAGCGTCTCACAAGTTGCTTTCAATGATTGTATGCGATGACCCGCACCTGTCTCGTTTAACATCCTAATACAAGGTGGTTTACCAAATGCAATAGTAAAACAACACTATCAAAAGGGTTAAAAATGCATAGAAAAGGTCTTTGAGTAAAATAGGGTAGACAACTCTTAGTTACTTGATCAAAACTTGCAAAACATCCTTGCTATTCTCAAACACACTTCACAACACAATTAAAGACATTTCCCAAAAACAACTTTCAAACTTATCATACATTGAAACACCTTTTCAAAAGACAAAAACACATTTGTATACATTCAAACAAGAATCATTACAAAGGTTGCCACAACGATGACCTCTTTTCAAAAAAATTTCAAAAACCACACACACAAAGCACCATTTCAAACAATTGAAAAGAAAAAGCAAGTGATCTAAACAAGTAACTAAGAGCCCATGTATAACCATGGATGAAAAGGGTGCTTGCACCTTCCCTTTTCATAATCTACCCCCCGAACCCAAGAAAACATCTCAAAGGTCTTTCCTGTGCTTTTTGACCTTTCCTTAGGATAAAATAAAAAGTCGGTGGCGACTCTTGCTAAACCGAAACATTTACGAACACAAAATGCAAAACCTCAAGTCAGTTCTCCCACCGTATCACAGTACCAAAGATTCAAATTTCAGTGATTTTCTACTGGAATCCCCGACCAATGTAACAGCCCCTGAGTGATTCAGATGGAGATCTGCCCCTGGGTATTCAGCATTTTTGGAGAGATTCTTTGCATATTGGCTTGACTTCCCCAGATTAATTAGACATCATGTCATACCCCTTGATTATGAAAGGCTTGTTATTGGGAATGTTTTTTCCATCTGAGGTGATTCTGTCCATTGAGGGGGTCTTCGTTCACTGAATATTCGTTATGTGAATTTCTCTGCCATTTGAACAATTAAGCATATGCAACCAATGTCATTTAAAGAATGTAAAGCTTATGTATGTCTTGAAATTTTTTGAAAATACTCTTTTTGTAGTAAAATAAAATTTGCAAGAATGTGATATCAACTCATGATTTATAGCAAACCTTACAGGAGTCGGGATACATTTGTAACAATATGCTCTCGAACTAACCCATGCTTCAGATAGGACTTTTAAGGGTTATAATGTGGCCTGGTTTACGGTTCAAGAAACAAAGGATAAAGGCTCAAATTTTATTTGTACCCAACCCACTCTTCGTGGTATTCTTCAGTCATGTGCTCAATTAATTGTGCATTTCGAATCCTAGTTGAGTTTTAGAATGTTGGCCCCGATATTTCGGTGATGGTTCAGAAATTGAACGTTTGTTTGAGAAGGCGGTCATTTTTGTTACCTTTTCTTTTTGTTAAGGATTTGTAGGACCTCTTTCGTTTTTGATTTTCCTATCCCTGTCTTTTGCCTGAACTATTTCTTTTGTGATTACAGCCAGCGGGATGCCCCAGTTTTTTTCTTAAGTCTCCTTCATAGGTTTTGACTTAAAGGGCTTTTATTTTGAGAGATAATGACTGCCTATTCTTAATGATTATGTGGAACCATCACCATCTTTTGGAGAGCATCTTCTACACTATTTGTCGTGTATGAAGGGAAAGCTTGCGACTGAATGCACATCTGAATTAACTGAGAAAACTACCCTGCCCCAGGTTATGATTAAGGGTTTTAATTTGTGTGAAAAGAAAACTCCTACTTCTTAGGCTCAAAGGGGTTGGCTAGGGATTATCTTCCTTATAACTCCACTTCTTAGGATTTGAAACAATGTTTGTACATCGTCAGCGGGGTCTGTTCAAAAGCATACTGTAGAGATTGTGGTATCATTCTCATCATGCTCCCTCTAAAGGCTTAGAGCTTTTAATCAAGAGTTGAATATCACAAAATGGAAGTAAGAAATCAATTTAAGCATAATGAAGGCAAATTAATTCAATACAAACATGTGCAATGCATTAATGAAATAACAAAGTTTGACATGACAATAATTGTTTCAACAAACAAAGAAAATACAACTGGAGAATTCAAATGAACAAAAATGCTCTCAATCCTGGCCATGATTTGGCATGGGTGAATTGATCATGTTGGGAGTCTCATGAGGGTCGAACTCAATCTCCTTGGCGTCAATGATATTTTGAATCTTGTATTTCAGTACCCAACAATCATTAGTATCGTTCCCAGGACTTCCAGAATGATAGGCACACCTTGCATCAGGATTGTAGTTAGGAGAAGAAGTATTAGGGTTTGGATGAGGTCCTATCAACGTAATCAAATGCATTCTCAACATATGTTGTAATGCTTGAGACAGCGGCATGTTGATCTTGGTAAACTATCTCTTAGGCTCGTCTTGCCTTTGTTGATTACCCTGTTGTTGTGGTCGTTACATGCGTGTCAAATTAGAGACGAGCACTGCCCCTACAGATTGGTGGTAGTCTTCCTTATTAACACTACGCCAAATAAGCTATTTAATAGCGCTTTTTTTTGTTTTTGATAGCGCTTAAAAGTGCTATTAACCGCGCCACTATTGTAAATATTTCTTATTTAATAGCACTTTAAAAGCGCTATTAAAGTACCAATTTATAATAGCGTTTTAATTAAAGTGCTATCAAAGTCAGTATTTTGCATGTTTTTTGTTTGTTTTTTTATAGCACTCTAAACAAAAAGCGCTAATATATAACATATGTTTGATAGCGCTTTCAAATAAAGTGCTAATAAATGGTACATATTTGGTACAATATTTTTAATAAGTACAGTACAATATTTTTTCTTACACAATCATTTTTTTTGGTGTAAATATAAAATAACTATATTCAATTCAACACAAATAACGCTTTAAGTTACTCATTGCATATATATTATGATCCATCAAATACCAAATAACATTTTAAATTACCAAATCCTATTGTTTCCAAATATCATAACATATAGAATATTAAGAGGGCGTTTGCATAGCCAAATTTGTAGATGCCCATCTATGAGTACTTCAATCCAAATCCAAAAACATACAATCAAATTCTCTAAACAAAACACCAAAAAAATAAGAAAGGATAACAAAACAATCCCATTTAGTAACCACCTTCATGATCCAAAAGCGTTGAACTCATAGATACAATCACTAATTAGGCAAAATAATTGTAAATATATAGACCACAATTTCCATTATTAGATGCATATAAACACTAAACAGAATATAATTCAAATTCTCAAAATATACATAAACACTTAATTGTGTGTAACTTTCTTTTCATGATCCAGAACTAGATATCAAACACCTTACAATTGTTACTACGAATATCTAAAAATTTCAAGTAGAAACGGAAAACTATAAATCAATCATACAATAAGATATAAGTCATTTTTCCGTATTTTCCTATTTCAAAATTTAAATTCGAGACCAAGAAAGAACACTCAGTACCTGAAAGAACAGAAAATCATAAATACATGTAACTACATTTAAGCGCGTTTCAACATTCTCTAATCTGATAAAACAAAAGCAAAAGACTTTGAAAATCATACACTGGTGACAGTTTGCTCTTCTGAAAGGCATAAGCCTCTTGTTTCCGGAACATGATGGTAACCCTGGACGAAACTATCCAATTAGAAAGAGTAAGAGGAATTAGATTAATTTCAATGACTGAAAAACAAAGAATGGATGTTTCATTACATTCTTTTCTCCAACAATGGCTTCATTAAGTGCTTCTCTCCCAACTAGAAGCATCGGGATTTGTTGATCAATTCTCATATGCATTCCTTCATAATAGTCTCGAATAGCATGATAAAGAGGTTGACATTCACCGGTATCTGTTATAGCAGATTCCATGCACTCAAAGCACAGAATCCGTCCATCATCCAATCTAAAGTATCTCTCTCCACGAGACTTCAAGGAAAAGATCATTCAAAATTTACATATCAGAATAAGGGAGAATCATATATTTAGCAAAATCTCATCTCTTAGATCTTAAAAAAGAAATGATAAAATATATTAGTACCTCTAATCTTTCGCAGCTACAACAACGAGCAGTATTGTCATATTCATGAGATGGACAGTACTTTTGGTTCCAATAAGGGTGACACCTATACTCAATCAAACCAGAACCATTTATAGGTATCTGCAAGTGAAATAAATTATCATGTGTTAAAGATTATAGGTCAATTGTAATAGACACGGCTGTTTTTGCAGTAACGGACCATTTTTTAAACCTTGTGACCCTAACTATTGAAGAAAACTAATAACAAAGTAGGACAGTATGAATAAGCAAAGGAAGAGGAAGACGAACTTACATAATGATGACAAACTTCACATTTAGGATGGCTTAACTCTTTAAAACAATATTTGTGATATGGATGCTTCCCTGACAAAGAAAACTTGGATCAACAGAAACAAAAGGCGGTAAGAGATGGATAGAAGATGAAAGTTACAATCAATGTTTTTGTAAGCATAGCTTTGAAAGCTTCAATAACATGAATTTACGAGTGCATCTACATGCTGTGACTGTAAATGTGTGTTAAAAGCTTCAAAATAGATGATTTCGATATCATATAAATTTTTCAAGAGGATTAAACTACCTCACGCTCGGTAATAGGATGATGGCAAGAGTGACACCGAAAGCAATCTGGATGAAAATAACTCTGTTCGACTCCCAAACAATTCCCATAGAGTATCTCCTTGTTGCACCCTCCACATAATCTAGTATGCGATGGCATGCTGCACATTTTCAGTTGTATAAATTATAATGTTACAACACGCGTACATGCATACATACATACATACATACATACATAATGTCAGAGAAATCATGACTTGTACGATGTTGGCTAGCAGTAGTCAATAACGAATTCAAACAATCATGCTATTGAAGTATCACTGAAATTAGAAGAAATCTTTTTACCTGTATCCCGGGGATAATACGGTAAAGGGGCATATGGAGGGTGTAGAGACGAATGCATCCGATCCTGAAGTCCCTTTGCATAATCATCATTAGCTCCCGTTCGCCATCTATATCCTTAATGAGAAAATCGAAATAAAAGTTTAATCATTGTTTATCAAAATTACTATAGTAAGAGACCAAGAAATTTCTTCAAAATCAACACCTACCTGCTGGTATCTTTAAATATTCATTTAAAGAAAGTGCAATTGCATTGCTCAAATCCTCATCCTCTTTCTTCGTTCTAGCACGGTTATCCTATTCGCATCAAGAATATTGTTTAAAACAACAGTGTTATCATTAAGCTTTTAATGAACAAAAACCAATAGTTTAGTAAGTGATTTTGTTTACCAACGATCTAGGTGGCGCTCGCCAAGCCATGTTTTCCTCTGCCGGTTGCTGCAGATGATGACTACCGCATTTTCCTCGATTAGAACCAATTTTGAAAATCTTACCAAACCATTTCATAAAACCAGACTTCCTCTCTGAGTATGAAGAAGAAAAATCCCCTGCTTCCCACCAAAATCGTAACAACAATAAAGGGTTTAATAAAGCTCTTATATCATAAGCATTTATCTAATAAGTGCTTATATATAAACAATTTTTACGACAAAACATAAAGTCAAATAATTTTCATATAAGCTATAAACTATTTTCTCAAGATGTCCTCCCAGCGGAGAGCTTACACAAATAATCTAAAAACAACTTTCACAAATATCATATATTGTTTCGATAAACTCTTTCAAATTCAAATAATTTCATAAGTGTTTAGTCCATAAATAAACTCAAATAACTCAACGCAAACAATTCCTAGGATATAACAAGTTTCACATAACCTTATTTACATCATATCTCTAAGAACAACAATCCATGCGCATTTAGTAAAATCAATAAAAACAAAAAAGCTTCATAAGATTGTGAAGTCACATGATTAATGATAAAGAAGGAAGAAAAAAGAGAAGTAAAATACCATAAATGCAAGGGTTTGAGAGATGGTTGATATCTGAAGGAGGAGCCATAGTGATGGTTGAAGGTTATATGTACGTGAGAGCAAGAGAATGGAAAATGAAAACGATGGGGAGAAAAAAGAAGGGTTTGGAGAGAGAGATGAAAAGAAGAGTAAACTAAACATGGTTAATAGTGGTTGAAAAAGAGAGGAGAGGAATCTGAGATGGAAGTGGTAGAGGGAGAGATTCTTGGCTTGGCCACCAACCTCGTCATTTTCAGCAGCCTTTTCAAAATACTCTTTTGCCTGTAATTCAGAAAAAGATATCATAAATTAAGCATAGACATACATAGACACACAATACCACCGATAAAGTGTGTCCCCATTCCATTCCCCAAAAATTTGAAGTCCATACAAACACAAAAAAGGCAAAGATGATCATACTTTAGTGTAATTTTTGTTGTCGACTCCATAGCCTTTGACATACAAATAACCAATCCCATTATAAGCAGAGTAGAGGTGATGCTTAGATGCTAGAGTAAGCCATTCAAAGGCTTTTGTATAGTTCCTCTCAACACCGGCTCCCCTGGCATATATCTCTCCGAGAAGCTCCATGGAGCGAGGCTCTCCCTTCTCCACTGCCTTCAAGAACCACGAAAGTGCCTTAGAATGGTCACGCCTCAATCCACGTAGCCCAAAGTAGTAAAAGAGTCCCACTTTGTACATAGCAGCAGCATTCCCTTTCTGTGCCTGATACTCGAGAATCTGAAAATCCTCATCCTCTTCCCCTTTAGATTTTCTAAGTGCCTCTTTGTTCTCTTCAGCTCCATTGTGTAGCCTAATAGGTTCAATGACGGGAGAATCTTTGGAAATGAGAAAACCATTGACAGCCACTACTGCTAATTCAGCATAAAGCTTAACCGATTTATCAAACATCTACAACCATTCCAACATAATCAAAAACCCTAACATTATAATAGAATAGAATATAGAAGTTTATATATTAGGAAAAACAAGTGAACTCACATCTTGACGAGTGTAGGTATAAGCAAGAGCCATTTTGGATTGCATATTGCCACCATCTGAAGCAAAATGATGATAAACAAATGCTTTCTGTTTACTCCTCTCTCTCAAAAGCCCCATTCCCCACAAAAACCCTAACACTGATTGTGCCGCCGGGTAACCAGACTCTGCAGCCGTCTCAATCTCACCAGAGCCTTCTTCGATTAGCCTCGCGTCTCCTGTCATAAGCTTGGTCACGGCGGAGTAGTAGAGAGCCTCCGTATCGGATTGAGGTTGAGGTTGCGGTTGGGTGGAGGTTGGTTCGAAGATTTGGCGCCATGATCCAGGGTCGAGATCCTCTTCGGATTTGTGAGAGTCGGAGTCGCCGAACTCGTCCCACTCGGGGGAGGAATCGGGATCGGAAGGGGGTTCGTCTTTGAAGTCTTCTTGGGAGAGGACGAGGACGTAGGGGCGGGCGGTGACGGAGAGAGTGAGGAGAGAGAAACAGAGGAGAGAGATGAATAATTTGGCGGTGGGCATTGCTGTGTTGAAAAATCACAGTCACAGCAATTGAAATTCAGAAATAATATAGAAATTTGGAATGAGAAGAACAAGAATGAAGGATAGTGAATGTAAATGGATGAAATGTCGAGGATAGTCAAATAATAGCGTTTTATACAAAATTCTATCTTAAAGAAGTTTAATAATAGCGTTCTGGTACAAAGTGCTATCATAATTACATAGTATGTATTATATAATAGCGCCCGATTAAAAAGTGCTATTATAAATGTGTTTTTTTCCATTTTAATAGCATTTTTTTTAAAAGTGTTATTAAATTAGGTGATACAAAAAATCATTTTTGGCGTAGTGTAAGACCCTTCTGGCCATACACAGCATTGCCTTCCCTCTTACCAACAAATGGCTTCTTCTCAGCATTAGAAGATGCAGTCATCGGGATCTTCCCACTCTTGATACCACTTTCGATCCTTTCTCCTGTCAGAACCATCTCTGTGAACCCAGAAGAGGAACTCCCAATCAGAAGATTAAAGAACAGGCCTATCATAGTGCCCATGAACATGTCTACCATTTCCTGATCATTAAGAGGAGGTTGTACCCTGCCAGCTAGATCCCTCCATTTCTGGGCATATTCCTTGAAGCCTTCGCTAGAACCCATAGACATGCTTTGAAGTTGTGTACGATTTGGAGCAAGGTCAGTATTGTATTGGTACTTGTGATACGGTGGGAGAACTGACTTGAGGTTTTGCGTTTGTGTTCGCAAATGTTTCAGTTTAGCATGAGTTGCCACCGACTTTTTATTTTATCCTAAGGGAAGGTCAAAAAGCACAGGAAAGACCTTTGAGATGTTTTCTTGGGTTCGGGGGGTAGATTATGAAAAGGGAAGGTGCAAGCACCCTTTTCATCCATGGTTATCCATGGGCTCTTAGTTACTTGTTTAGATCACTTGCTTTTGCTTTTCAATTGTTTGAAATGGTGCTTTGTGTGTGGTTTTGAAAATGTTTTGAAAAGAGGTCGTCATTGTGGCAACCTTTGTAATGATTCTTGTTTGAATATATACAAAGGTGTATTGTCTTTTGAAAAGATTTTAATGTTTGAAAGTTTGATTTGGGAAATGTTTTGAAATTGTGTTATGAAGTGTGTTTGAAAATAGCAAGGATGTTTTACAAGTTTTTGATCAAGTAACTAAGAGCTATCTACCCTATTTTACTCAAAGGTATTTCCAACACATTTTTAACCCTTTTGACAGTGTTGTTTTACCATTGCATTTGGTAAACAACCTTGTATTAGGATGTTTAAACGAGACAGGCGCGGGTCATCGTATTGACCATGATGGCAATATTGCCAAGTATCTTTAGCAATTTTTTGAGGGACTAGATCATTTTGTATAGGCAACTAAGATAGCATCATCGAGGGACTATGATCTTTTATTTTGTTTTTGTTTTGCCAAAGATACTCAACATGCATAACATGGCCAATTTTAAGGCAACAAGTGGATAAAACCCTAGGGGTGCAAGTGTGCATTGTGTTGTCATTTTCATGCATTTTTGTTTTTGTATTAGTCAAGCTATTTGTTGATTTTGGATTTTTGCATACAAACCCTAATCTCTAATCATGGGATAATTGAAAGCGTAAATGCGTAAAATAAATCTACCATTATTACAACATGATTATGGGGAGGAGGATACAATTTTTTGAATGGGGATTATTTGACAATGAATTAAAACCCTAATTTTATTATTACATCCAAATTGAATCAATGGCATAAATAATAAATGAATAATACTTAAATAAATAAATTAAATATGTATACAAAATATTATGAATATGCAAAAGTGTTTTGTTTATTTTTATGTATGTAAAAATATTTAATGCAAAAGGAATAAAATAAAATAAAAATATTTTTTTTTATTAAGGGTAAAACCCTAATTTTCTTTTAAGAATGTAAATATGTTAAATATACTATTTATATACAATAAAATAAAATAATGTATATACAAAAAATAAAATATATTTAGAAAAAGTAATATTTAAGTATAAATAATAATAAAAAATAAAAGTATAATATTTTTATGTTTTTATTCTCAAGTATTTATTAAATAAAATAAAAGTATTATATATATATATATATATATATATATATATATATATATATATATATATATATATATATATATATATATATATATATATATATATATATATATATATATATATATATATATATATATATATATATATATATATATTATATATATATATATATATATATATATATATATATATATATATATATATATATATATATATATATATATATATATATATATATATATATATATATATATATATATATATATAATATATATATAATATATATATATATATATATATATATATATATATATATATATATATATATATATATATATATATATATATATATATATATATATATATATATATATATATATATATATATATATATGTATATATATATATATATATATATATATATATATATATATGTATATATATATATATGTATATATATATATATATATATATATATACATATATATACATATATATATATACATATATATACATATATATATATATATGTATATATATATGTATATATATATATATATATATACATATATATACATATATATATATATATATGTATATATATATGTATATATATATATATATATATACATATATTATATTAGTTATGTATAATAAAAATAAAATAAAATATATACAAGACAAAATATATTTAGAACAATATTTTGAGTGTAAATAAAATAAAGAATAAAAATAAAAGTATAATGTTATTATATATTATTTTTAAGTTTTCAATAAATAAAAGTATATACTATTAAATAATTATTTTCATGTCTAAAAAAATAATAATAATAAAAATAAATATGAAAATTTATGAAAATATTTTTGGGTATTTTTATGTTTGGAAAATATAAACAAAAATCAGAAAATGAAAATAAACACAAAAATATAAAAGTGTAAGGAAATTGGGCCAGGGGGTGCATTCAGCAAAAGGGGATTGTTAAAAACAAAAGAACCAAAGCCCAACCCAAGCCAGACTTGATCTTCATCCTCTGCCTTCAAGATTTCGCGCGCCTGGTTTCAAACATGAACAACCTGCATACGTGCTCTAATGCAAAAACACATAACATCAAAGTTGTAGAGTTTTCCAAGACGAATTCAACCATATAAAAAACTTGTCCTAACTCTCAAAGATCAGAGAGAATTTCTTTGGCCCTAAATCTTAACCTATTTTTTTCAGGATGTTCATGGACCAAATTGTTTTAGCATTCTTAACTAAAATGAAAACTGAGCATATGTACAGCTTCATGGCTATGAATACTACATTTTTTATTCACAAAACTAAGCCTAACTATTCCTAAATAGAGAGATAGGAAGTTGATAAAAACCTGTTTCAGTTGAGATCGTGTCTGACAATGTAGAGCTTTTCAATGAGGCCTGAGATGTTTGGGAGCTTGCTTGAGCTTCCCCTGACCTTCTCCAATGCCTGGCTTGCCTTGAATGTGCTTGAACAAGCCTACAGAACTCAACCTGCACAAGCTGAAATCAAAAATGGCGAACCTTGTAAATGGAGTTACAGTTAGTGTTTAAGGGTTGGGATAGCTTGGATAGGTTGTATGGAAGGTGTTTGAACCAGTTTGAGGCAAAACACACGAGGGATTTGTGCTATGGAAAACAAACTGCGGGGAGTGCCCTGTTTTGCCAAATGAAGATGATTTTGTGCTATGGGAGGTTTGAGGGCTCAAAGGGTCGTGTTTCTGGCTCAAGGGGATGTGAGAAACTTTTCTCAAAGGCTTGCACAAGTTGGTTTTCACAGATGTTCAAGTTGTGTGATATTGGACAAATTTCTTGGTTATGAAGCAAAACATGAGAAGTGATGGAAGACAAGCCTGTACAGGATATCTATCAGCTTGCACACTATTCCCTTGGCCCCTCAAGTTGGTGTATATTATTTGCTGCACAAGATATTGTTCAAGGCTCAAGAGATGTGGTTTTGACATAAAGCATACTTTGGCAAAAATGGTAATGTACCTTTTACCATTTATGGATTAATCTTGTGTGCAATATTCTAATGACCAAAACAAAGCCTTAGACCAATGGATTTGCATTTAATTATTGAGTGTGGAATTGTTTTGAGACCTGTAATCAAGTACAAAGCAAGCTGATTAGAGTTTGCAACTTGTATCACTATGAACATGCCATGGATAAAAAGTGAGTTTTTGCCAACTTCAAGCATTCGATTCTCCCTAACAACAAATGAGTTTGGAGAGTTCTTGGACGTTTTGGAAAGCTTGCAACATGATCTACAATCCATATTTGAAATGCAACTTGAGATTCCAAGTGGAACTATGTGAAAAATGGTCATGAAGATGGGTCAAAATCCTGCCTAAACAAGGGCAAAATTTCACTAAGTTAAAAGTTTCATGAACCCTTGTTCCAAAAATCATAACTTGATATCCAAGCTTCTTTTGGGAAAACTTTGTGAATAAAAGTTGTGGAATTTGTGGAGGACTACAACTTTCATGTTGGAAGTTTTGTTTGAATACAATTGCATCATGGTGAAAATGTTGGGCAAAGTTAGGAAAAATTAAGAAAATTTCATAACTTAGAAAAATTCTAAGTTATGAAATTTTTGCAACTTTAAACCCTAATTTGCAAAATTGGGTTTCTTGATGAATACGTTTCATTTTTTGACATATCTTGATGAAAAATGACCCTTGGCACTTGATTTAGACCAAAAAGTCAAAGTTTGACTTTTCAGTATACAGTCAAATTTTGATCAGTTGACTGAAAAATTCATCTGTCAATCCAATGCATTTGAGATCTTTTGAACCTTATGAATAGGTCAAGATGATGCCATTTAGTCCTTGAATCCATGCTTGAACCCAATTTTCCATTGGCTAGGTCAAAAATCATAAATTTCCCTTGTGCAGTCAAAACCCTAAAAATGA